GTCAGCCGGGCTGGAAGGAGCGGGGCATAGGCATGCTGAAGTTACTGCGCTCACCGCCACCCAACAGCCGTGTGCGTGTAGTCATGCGCAGAGATCAGATCCTCAAGGTTTGCTGTAATCACCCTATCACAGCGGAGATGAAGCTTCGACCGTTGCAACAGCAAACAGATGCGTCGACGCCAACGCTCGCCTGGATCTGGTGGGCGGTTGACTTTGCTGAGACGGAGGAGGGGGCTTCAGCTGGCGACAGTGGCCGTAAGGAGACATTTTCTGTACGATTCAAGACCCCTGAGGATTCGGAGGCCTTCCATCAAGCCTTCATGGGCGCTGTAAAGGCTGCTGGTGGAGAAGATGCCAAGTTGGAACCGCCGCGTTCTAGTTCTACACCCAGTGGACCAGCTAATAGCGCAACCACTAAAGATTCGAAGCGAGGCGAAGAGTCGTCAGATGAATCCGATCTGGTCATCGTGGAGCACAGCCCGGTGAGTTCCTTTTTTTTCTCAGTAATAGGTAAAAGTTCAGGGCCGTGATGTGTTGGTCATTTAGTTTATTTTCTTATAAGACTGGCATGAGGTTCGCTGCGCGAAATAGACTGGCAAGGGGGTTTCTATCTCATTTGTCGTCCAGACAACTAATTCCTAGGGTGCCATCTTACCTCGACAGTCCTGAAACAAATCAAGATTCAGTATCTGATCGACGGACCCCTCCCTCTGCCAACGATGTTGGGTCCGACCCCAAAGCCCATGAATATCTCTCTGTGGTACGTCCTTGCCTCCCAAACCCAATAGTGAGAATGAGCCGGATAAGGTAGAACTTGTGAAAGTTGTATGCTTATAATTATGGCGGTATCAGAGGGTTCATTTGAGTCACACTGACCGTTCCCGCTAGAACCGTTATGGTACAAACATGATTACTTGGAACGGCCGCTTCTTCTACACTTCGGTGATGTTCCTGGTGACCTCTGCGATGCCCTCCACGTTTGACCCTCCCCCAAGAGCGATAGTTTTTTCTCCTTTAACCTTTTGTTCTACTTCATTGGCTCATGCCATTTGACTTTTTCAATAAGTCGAGGTACCATTTTTTGATGCCACAACACGCATATGAAAATAGAGAGTTCATAGGTACCCGCCCACATTTACCTCAACTAT